GGCGGGGCCGCGCTTCCCTTGCCCTCCGCTGGGCCCTCTTATTTCCGCCTCAGGGAACTCCACAAGGGCCAGATCCCGGTCTGAGGCCGGCCTTGCCCGCCTCGGAAAGCCTCTTCTGCCTCTTCAGCCTCGCTGCGGTCCTCCGTCTTCCCCGCCACCAGACCTGGTCCCTTGGTTGGTGATACCCGCCAACGAAGTGCCCGGCGGCCGTGCCGCGGACTGTCTCGGAAGACGTCGCCCCTCGTGCAGCTGGGTCGGCTCCTGGTGGTCTCGGGCTGTTGTGGCCCGGAAGGCCTTGCCCATCCCTGGGAACGAGGGGGGGTGTTGGGCCTAGGGGTCTTGGGAGCAAACCACATTTACTCCCTGCCTTTCCTCTGCTGCCTTGCAGTGAAGCCAGGGCGTTACCTAAACTGGTTCTGCCCCAGCTCCTCCTCTGGCTCAGCTGGCCGCTGGCTCTCCTCCTGAATCTTGGCTCAGAGGGAGCCGGAGGAGCCTCCTTCTCAAGCTACTCAGCGTGGGCGCCGTTAGGGATCTGGCGGTAAAAGAGGCAGCCAGCGGGCACAGAGGGCAGCAGCCCAGACCCACGGGCGGAGATGGGACGTTCTCCACTGAGGCAGAGCCTGCTGGACCTCCGTCTCTTCAAGAAGAAGGATTTAACAGCCCGCTTGCAAGAATGGCCGTGAACTGTCTAGATGACGTCCCTGAGTGCTCTGTTTGCCAAAGTAATATCTGTGCTGTGGCAGCTCATGATTTTTTCAAATCTGCCCAGCCCGCTTGGCACAGCAGAGTGCAAGATGGAACTGCAGTAGTGTTCAGAGAACCCAAATGACTTGCAACTTGGTTTAGAATCTAAAGCAAGAGTCCAAAAGGACAGTGAAGGCTTAATTGAGACAAAGGTAGAATTTACAGCTTGTGGCAGAACTTATCCACAGTGTAGCATTGATCTGGTTTTATTGAGGAGCCTTTGGGTGGGGGCAGACTTGGGAAATACCAGTTCTGATTCCAGCCCAGATTTTAAGACTGGAAAGTGCAGTCCCAGGCAGAAGTGCCCGAGAACAAGATTCTGGGGGGGTTAGATTTTGGAGCAATTGTTTGCTCCAAAAATTGGTACCGTACGGTATTCCACCCTTTCTTGCACATGCACCTTTGCATAAGGTTTAAAATTGGACTCCCCTCCCCCCAAAAGCTGCCTTCCTTGAGATGCCCAAATGTCTGGCAGCTTGCAGGGTTCTTGCTGCACTTCATCCAGATGTAGTTTATAAGTTCTAGTTCTCCACAGAGAAGGGAACCACGGGACCAGCAGTGGTGGTCCACCCCAGAAAAGGATTGAGACCACATGGAAGGTTTACTGGTGAATATCTCTTTCCAGCGGCAGCCTTCCTCTGTGCCGGGAAGAGAAGCTACCAAGGGTGCCAAAGGATGAATGTGAAGCCTTCTGGACGGCTGCGCTCTTCTGCCCCGGGAGGGGGAGAGATGAGCCGGCAGTCCTGGGTTTCCCGGCTGTTCCCTGCTGGATGCCCAAGGCCAACTTGGGATAACTCTGGCATAGACCCAGCTTGCTCCCAGTTGGCTTTCCTGGTGCACCGCCAAGGTGGTGGGAGCTGCTGGCCATGGAGCATTTCTTGCCCTGAATCGATTGGCTGTGCTGATCAGCGGGATAAGTGATCGGGCCACAGAAGGGGCCCAATAAGCTGGGGCTAGGGTCTTCTGGAGGCCAACGTGGGCTGTAATTGGGGGGCGTCACCACAGCCCCTCCAGACTGGCTATTGTGTGTTGATTTTGGACTATATGGATACATTTTAAAATTGATTTGCCTCTAAAGCTGTTTCCATTCACTGTTCAGAGGGGTTTCTCTGTGCACTTTCTCACGAATTTCACCTGGTCTCCAAGCATGGTTGCTTTTCTCAAAATGGCTGCACCTCTGGAACTCTGTCAGGTTATAACCCACCCTTTTAAAATGGAGTCTTTGAGACTATAGAAAAAGGGCAAAGGTGACCATGAGTTTCTATGCCCTTTTTTCAGCAGCAGCATGGAAGTTCTTCTTCAGCCTGGAGGTTCTTGCTAATGTACCTTTTAAAATAACATTTTTAAGGCTGGAAATCTATGTTATACAGGTAGTCCTGAGTTCTGTTCCCAAGGTCTGTCCTTAAGTTGAATTTGTATATAAGCCAGAACAGTATTATTATATAATACTGTATAAGTAGTATTGTGTAATGAACTTGAACTGTTGTGCATTTAATTTGAATTTTGCTACAATAGGCTCCCTTAACTATAGTTCATCTGTAACCTGGGCATTCTTAACCCAGGGACTCCCTGTATATCATCATTTTGACCATGTTTCTGTTAATAGATTTTAAGTAAAATAAATCCTGGTCAGCAATCTACCAGTGGAAAACAGGCTACTTAGAAGTCCTTATTGCTTAAGCTTAAGCTATAAAACATGGAGCAGGAAACTGTTTGGTTATGATGCAATCAGCCTCTCCTGCTCCTTAGATCCTCTAGGGATTCTCAACAGCAGTTCCTTATAAGTTGGGATTTACCAGGGTAGTTACTGTTTTGGAAGGCTCTTCTGGCAGAATTCTTGAGTCTTCTTTGTTTGCTGTTCGTTTGTTGGGGTGAGTAACCATGGACTGACTTCATGCTGTAGCTGCATTTCCCCAACATGGGGGAATGTTGAATGGACATGTTTTTCTGGATTTACATGATGCTCGAACAGTAAAGGAACCAAATAGGCTGGATTCCCACAAGCTGAGCGGGTTATGCAAATGCAAGTCCTTGGTCTTTGGTGGTTCTGCCAACAGCCATATATTGTTTATTATCTTCTCAGCTCCAGTCTCAGTCTTGTAGCAGCAAGTCTGCTAATCAAGAGATGCAAACATCTGAAGCGACTTAGGAAGAATCTGGAACTCTGAATACACCTCGCTTGGGGGCTGCATTTCCCCTTGTGTCGAATCCAAAAGAGTATTGAATGGACTTCCACAGGGTGAGGGGGCAAAATCAGAAGAAATTATACAGGGCAAGAAAAGCAGTGCACAGCTCCTTTATTTGCATAGCTTCATTTATGTTCGGGTGAGCAACATTTTGCACATTGGGAGCAGCATTAAATTTGGAGGGGAGGATTTATGAGTTTGGTTGCATCACATGTAGAGATTCCGCCGCTGGCCTACCACCCCCCCCCCCCCCGTTTTGGGAAAACTTTTGCAAGAACTTTTTTTAATGATGAAATCTTATGGCGTTTCAGAGGCCAGCCAATTTTTTATTTCATTGGTTTCTGTGGATCACTTCATCCAACACATGCTTTCGTCTTTAAGGAACCATTGAACACTCTGTACTTTGTGCTGCAAAGGCTAACAAGCTTCCCTCTGGAATTTTTTGGTTGAGATATGCTGGCTCTTCTAGGGATTTGTTTTGGGTTTCCTCCTAAAAACGGTGGAGGAATGTGGCCCCAATTGAAGATGCTTTGGAGACTGCAAGAGAGGGTTCGGGCGTGCCTAATTGCCCTCCTCTGCAGTCCATCTTATTCAGCTGCTAGTGTCTTTCAGGGCAGGGTCAGCATCTGTTGGTTCTGTGGAGCAGGCAAGGCCCCACTCCCATCTGGCCAGAGACCTTCAAAGATAGTTAAAGTCCAGCCCAGGGTGCAAAGTAGCAGAGGTGATACTGTTAAATCCAGAGAATTTGACAGTGTGAAGCCAAGGGCCAGGCTGATGTTTAGAATTCCAGGTGAACGAGCTGAACCAACATTTTGGGAATGCAAGCAAGGCCACAGGAGGCACCTCCAGCCCAATCAGGGTACATTAGCTCAGAACACATAACTAACAGCAGCTCCTAGGGAGGCCATTACTTCATGGAGCTCTCTGTGGAAACCTGGTACTTTTGTGCCTTTTGGGCTTTTCATACGGTCGGTAAATCCCTGTCACAACCAATGGACCAGCATTTGATTGATCTGAAAAAGTGGACCCTGCACCTGCGGGAAAACGCTAGGAAGAAAAAAAGAATATAGTGCGCTCATGAGCTCAGAAGTCTGCCAGATAATCCAAACACAGGTCCCTGGCTTGCAGGTGTTTGATTGATCAATTTACAAACACTTGTATTCTGACTAGATTCTGGTGGTAGTGAGTTCTTATCTGTTGCTGATAAAATCATAGGGTTGGAAGGCATCTTGGAGACCTTTTTCCCAGAGAAATGGGTGTCCCACCTTTGCTTAAAAATGTCCAGTGAAGGAGTCCCCATGATTCCAGGGGACAGGTTGTCCCACTGCTCAATAGCTCTTGTGGTCAGGAAAAGGAAAAGTTTGGATCTCCCTCAGTAAGCTTTCACCCATTGGCTCTTGTCCCACCCTCGGGTACTATGGAGAATAAATTCACATTGCAACAGCCCTTCAAGTACTTGAAGACAGCTATCATGTATGGGGCTGTAGCTCCTCCCTGTCATCTGAGGATCTTGTAGAAGATCTAATTTCTTTTGGTTTGCTCGTCTCACTGTTCTGGTTTTTGCTCCAGTGTCCCTGACACTGTCTTGTCTTGCCTCTGCTTAAGTACTTCAGTAAAGGGGAGCTTTCTCTTTCCTAGAGAATTTTCCTGCTGTTCAGCCAAAATTTGTTTCTTTGCTGTCTCCACCCCTTGATTCTAATCCAGGACTTTAGAGCAATAGAAAAGTTTTCTGTCTTCATCTTTAACATGACAGCCTTTCTGATTTTTCAAGACTTTTTCAAGACTTCTCTTAATCTCTATTTCAACTACACTTACCCAGCTCCTGCAGGTCTTAGTTTCAGTCCCCTGACTCGTTTCCCAAAATTATTCTTCAAATGTGGTGTCCAGATCTGAACACAATAGTTCCATTTCATAATAGTTTTGACCAATTCAGGATAGAAAGAAACTTACTTGTGACTTGGATATGCTTGCTTGCGCTAATACAGTCTGATAGCTTTTTTAGCTCATGTTCAGCATCTGATTATTTTAAGATGCCTTGATCTTTTTCACATCTGTTTTTCTGAAGTTTCATCTCGTTGTTGTTGTTGTTCCTAAATGTGAGATCTCCAAAGACTTCTGAAAAGAGCTCCAGTTGATGTTACAGGTTGATAGAGAGGCTTCGGTGCTGTACCCAAATGTGACAAAGGTGGCGAGAGAGAATCCCTAGGACTCAACAGAGGAAAAAGGCTGGGGTTCTCTTGTTCCTCCCAGCTAGTAAAACCTAGCATGGGCTGAAATTCTTGAGAGGTCAGGCCCAGCAATTGGTTGAGAGGGGAAAGTAGAAATTGCCAAGGACAGCTGTGATGGAAGGCACTTGAGTAACAGTTGGCTTGACATTTTTAGTAACTGACAGGAGATAGCATGGCTTCAGGTAACAGTGGAATCACTGCTAGAAGACATTGGGAAACTGATCAAGTTAGGTAGTCTTCCCTGAAGTCTTCAAGAAAAGGTGGGATATATAAATCTAAGCATGAAGCTGGAAGTGATATGGAAAGGGGTATCTGGTATTTCCTCAGTGATCCTATAGAACCCTTGTTCATTCAGGCTTTTCAGTTCGAAGGACTAAGAAAAAACTTAGTTGAAAAATATAAGTAGCAGGAACACTAAGTAAACATCATGTAATGCTGGAGTTCTTGATTTTAAGGGAACCTAAAGACATTTAATACTTTAAAATGTTTAATTTTACCTCAGATTGCAAAAAAGTTGATTTTAGTCAAGTGAGCAAGACTCCCAAGGCAGGAGAAATTAGTGGGAAAAGGAGCCTGAGATGGTTGGGAATTAAGTACATAATTCCGGTGAGAAGAAAGGACAGGAGGACAGCAGCAAAAGCCATTGAGACTGCACATAAAGCTGAGCAGTGACGCTCAAAGCAAAAGAGGCCAGATAGAAAGAGATCCAGGTCCCCAAAGAAGAGCATAGAAGGTGGCCTGGAACTGCAGAGATGGTGTCAGGAAAGCACACTTTCCAGAGGAGCGGAAGGACCTGAGCTCTTCCAGGTGACAAGCAGGATTCCAGTTCGCAAGAAGGATGGCTGAGGGATATACTTGCTCGCTTTAAATAATTCCTCCAAGGCCAGATGAACTGTTTTCACTGTACCAAAGGAACCTTTATGTATTAACCTTGACAAATTCTGGAGAACTAATCATTACCAGATAATTATTGGAGAGAAAATGTTTCTATATTTTAGAAGGGAAAAAGAATCCAAGGGATTGCAAACTAGGCAGTCTGATGTCAGTCCTTGGGGTCATTGTAGAGCAGATCAGGGATCTGGAAGCGCCTTGAAAAGAGTGCAACCGTTTCCAGACGTCAGCATGGATTTGTCAGATTAAATCTTCCCTCATGTGACCTCCTCAAAGTAAAAGCAGTTGGTTGGTGGAACCAGAGACCCGGTGGGCTTCTCTTTATGGATGTGTTCAAGCAAAGTCCAGGCTCTAATTTTGATTCCTGCACTGAGCAAGGATTGGCCTCTGTAGTCTCAAGAAGCAGTTCTGAGTTTGCCATTGTAGGAATTACGTACATAGCACTTACTACACTGAAAGGAGAAGAGGACGGGCTCTTGCCTCAGGGAAGCGTACTTTAGAAACTACACAAAGGGAGGAAGGGGTAACGAAGTGGAGGCTGAGAGTGAAGAGACCTGTGGTGGGTGCAGTGGCTCTGCTGTGTGATGTTCCTATGAAAGGAGGGAAACTCAATCTCCAGAAGTTGCTAAAGTGTGACTTTATCGTCTTCTATAATGGGGCTGCTAGAAGGTGAAATTTAACAGATGAGGAGAGCTTCTTCTGGACATAAGATAACATAAGCAAGATAAGCATTTATCTATGGATGTGGAGGCCATGCACACATACACAAACACCCTGAAAACTCTACAGGTGGGACTGGCCAGAGGCAGTGTCTCTTCGGCCCTAGCAGCAGCAATGCAAAATGTGAGCTGCAAATGCTCCAGAGCCCTTCCAAAACTTGCTGGTCAAATGACAGTTGACTGAGATGGGGAGTAATTTAAATTGAATCCAGTTTAGGCATACTGCTATCTAGAAAGGTGTTTTCCAGTCAAACACCTTTCTAGATAGGTTGATATGAATGGCTCTTGCTGTCTTCATGAGTTACTTATAAGAGCCTTGCAAGATAGATGAAAGGTTGTCAAGGAGTGTCAGCCCTTCAAGGTAGTCCAGACCAGGAAACCAAAACCAGGAATACTAAGACTACCTTTATTGTAAGGTTACAGTAACAGACTCTTGCAAGTCTTTGCCTTTACATTCCAGAAAACTAGGAAGGGCCCCTTCGAAGATGCCTTCTCCACCTCCACCCCTCCTTTGGACTCAGATTTCTCTTATCAGAACTTTGTCTAACCTGCGGCTCTTCCTCTTCTCTCACAGCCCATTGCAAGGAGAGACCCATGAGGCAAGTTGCCCTTGGGAGGCTTTCTATAGCTCTCCCTTCCATCTCTCTCTGTCACTGTCTTGTGTGAGGGAGCCCAAGTCAATGAAGGAAGGAAATACCTCTGTCCTGCCTCCTGCTTGAAGAGAAAAGAGGAAGCAGCACCCCAGGTATGAGCAGTGCCATAGTTACCATAGATGGTTAGATATCCACTGATGGGCAGCACATGACTCTACTGTTTTCTCTAGAGTCCTGGTTCTACTCTTAACAGTAGCCAACCATGTAGCTCTGGGGAGTCAAAAGCAGCAAGAGAGGAATGTCTCAGCCCCCCCCTCCATAACCCCCTTCTAGTATCTCACATTTAGTTGCAAACAGCTTTCTTTGAAGGAGAAGTTGCATATAATGATCTGGCAAGAGAATTGTTCTTGCCGTTGTCAGTCTCATCCTTCTTTAAAAGCAGTGCAAAATATTCCCATATTTATCTTACATATGGCATATTGTGTGTGCGGTTTTTTTGAGGCAACAGTCTCTCTGTGTTTGAGCATATGTTTGGAAAGGTCTTCTGAGCAACACATTGTAAAATTGCGTAGGTTGTGTTGGAGTACTCTCATGTCACCCTGGTGGGGGCTGTTTATCTCAT